GCAATTACAAGAAGAATTACAAGGAGCATAACAAATCAAAATACTTTTGTTCTCCTAAATATGTCCTCATTTTGTATCATTGGGTAATCAAGATTTATTTTCTTCAATTATAATTTAGGTTTCCTTATGTAATTAGGACATTATTTAGGCTTTCATTTAGACCTAACATGAGGGAAATAATCTTGTCTAAAGGGTAGGAGCACATTCACTACTAGGAAATTAGTTATTTTTTACAAATTTTCTTGTAAAAAGTTGTTTAAATTTGTATGAAACTTATTTCTTGAAATTTTTACAAAAAAAAACATTACAAAAATATTTTCATGAAATATGAGAATTTCTAGAGTGATTTAGGCTTCAATTGCATTCAAATTCCAAGTCCAATTGGAAGAGTAGATATGACCAAGACATCAAGAGAAGCAAGGAAAGTGTGATCAAGGAAAGGGAAGCATGAATCAAGTATGAAACACACAATCCCTTGATGATGCAATAAGAGAGTTTTGGTGCCAAGATTCAATTTGAATTTTGAATTTGAATTTATCGCTCTTAGTTTCATATGAAATTGAATTATCACTTTATTTTATTTTGTAATTTTCAGATCCATGATTATAAATAATCATCACCTTTCTTGTAAAATCACTTTATGTCATATATGAGAAGTTGAGTTTTTAAGAGAAAAACTTGCCTTCAGTGATTGATTGTTTTTAGATTTTATCTTGATTTTTAGAAATCAAGTGACGATTTTTTATCTTCACTTATCTGAAAGAACTTCATCTTTAAATGGTGTGATTGCTTCCATTTTCATAAGTCTTATCTTTCTTTTAATAGATGAACAATGATCATTAACAAGGTTTATAGGAAAAAATATCACATAATAAGAAGTGCAATCTAACATAAATCCGAACATCCCATCAAATCAAACCATAAAATACTAAGAGAATGAGGTGACAATGTTTTTAGATATTACCTCTATTGTGCACAAGGAAGAATTAAGATTGCACAAGGTGGTGGCACAAGTGCAACAAGGGCAAAAAATGATAAACATGAATAGAAAACAATGAGGAAGATAAAGGTCTATAAAAGAAAATTTGTAATGTACAAAAAAGAGAATTGAAGAACAAGAAGATGAAAAGCAAAGAATGAATTTTTGTGTTTTTAAACTAAGGAATACTTTCTATATTAGTTCAATTTTGATCAATATAGTAAGTATTTTCCATGTTATTATATTTTGAAACAACAACAACAAAAAGTCACTTTAGAATTGAGCCAATATATAAAATTTTTTTACTAAAATTGTTATAAGTAGTCATTAATTTTTTACTAACTATAAAATTATCATTACATAACTTATTATCACCAATGAACTAAAATTGTTATAAGTAGTCATTAATTTTTTTATTTATTTTTAACTTTGACATTTTTCTCTATTGTCCAAAGTTTCTGCGAATGGTAATCATTTTTCTAAAAAAAAAAAAATGTTGTTAAAGAAACATGGATTTGGCTTTACCATGACAAGATCATTTTTGTAAAAAGCTTATAAACAATTTTTATTATGCCTTCTTAAGGCTCACATGAGTTTTAAACATAATGATTAATAAAAGTTATAATGACTTGATCATAAAATCTATTGAATTATATTAAAAAAGTAATTGATCTATATTTAAGAAGTCATTGATATATAATAATTTTCATAAGCAAGTAATTATACTACACAACAAGCAATAGTATTGAATTATGTAAAAAGAATATGAAATCAACAAGCATATGCAATCATCTGTGTTACAAATGCAATTATAAGCTTAAGTTTGGTTAATATATAAATATGAATACTTTTCAAACAATAACTTTATCAACAAGTTCTCTTATTATTTTTTAGAAGTTATACTCGGTTGGAAAGCTCCATTATGAAAATTTATTATTAAATTTAGTTCTATGAAAATCAATTATTAAATAATGTAGTGCTATGAAATATTTATAAAGTAGGATTATGTTGAATCATTATTATGAACCCCGATAGAAATAATTTGTATGAAATATTGGTGTATTTTGAAATTATTAACAGTTATCATTATTGGGTTAAATTAAAGTTCGACCATTTCAAACATTTACTAAAGCTTGTTCATCTTTGCAAAAATTGATGATATAAAATATATTTTATAGAATTTTCGAGTTTGAAACTTATGAATGTAGTTGCATTTGAGATACTCGAAAATATTTTAAATATCATATAGAATTGATTCTAACAACTACAAATTTTGAAAGGCTACATAATAACATCTCCATAATACATATTAGTTACTTCAATTTATACTAATTTTTTTCAATTATTTATTATAACTTTTATTTTTTATATCTACTTTGAATATCAAAAAGCTCTCAAAAATTAATTGAGAAGTTTCATTTTATCTTATATCATATATATATATATATATATATATATATATATATATATATATATATATATATATATATATATTCAAAATTTTAAAATCCTATCCAATTAATCTAGAAACGTTCTAGATAATGTAAAATAACGGAGAGATATTAATGTTAAAAAGAAACTAGTAATTTTAATTTTAAAAACTTAAAGTTTCTAATTAAAAAATAGTATTAATGTTTATTTATACTATATTATATATAGTTACGTTATATTAATGTTAGTATAAATATTGAAAAAAAAATTCAAATTATAATAAATATTAATATATTAATTTACTTTAGTAACATAATAATTTAATAACTTTTATTATATTTCTACTGTTATTAGTATGAAGAAGTATATTATTAATAGCAAAATTGATATAAACACAATAGTATAAGTATAACTTTTATAACTAATAATATATTAATAAATTAACATATTGAACATAAGAGGGTATCCCATGTAATAGTTGGAAGCAATTAAGAATTTTCTTATAATCAAATGATGAAGGAAGCATAATTAACTAAAAATATAAGGTTAGTATAGTATAATTTACTCAGTAAAAATGAGTTTTGAATTTAGGTTACCAAAGTCAAAAATATTTTTTAATTGATTTTATAATTTAAATTCCAAATCAATAAAATCAAACTATTTTATAAAAACATATTGAAATAAAAATTTAATAATATATAAAGTCATCGTATATATACATATATATTAATAAAAACACAAAAGATTAAGTTTTTTATATATATTTTTAATAAAATTAAATATTTTTATTTTTATTTTTATTATTTTTATTTTTAAAAATATATAAATTATAATTTTTTTTATCCTATAACATGAAAGGAACAATTACAAAATAAATAATTTATTTAAAGAATTAAAAATCATTTTTAATCTTATTATTCGTAGTGATGATTTAATAATTAAAAATGTTTGTGTTTATACTATTATATTATAAAAAAAATAACTAACTTTTATATCTTTTATAAATATAAAAATAAATAAATAACGGAACTTATTAATGAGGTCTAATCAAATGGAATCATGAACTGTCCAGAAAACGTTTCCTCTGAGTTAACAGCTAATAAATTTTTTCTTGTAACTCCATAACACTTCTTGCATTAATATTAAAATAAATTATTTAAAATATAAAAAAGAATTCTTAACTGCACATTTAAAATTAACATTTAATAATTTATTCCATATCATCCCTAGAAAGATTTATTATAAGGAAAAGTTATTCTAGAACATCTTATAATTTAAATGACTTTTTTAACCTTTACCTGTTACACACAAAACTTTCTCAATTTCAGTTTAATATATAAACTTTGAGTAAATTACATTACTATTTCATGAGATTTTCTCAAATTATGTCTATGCCCACTTAAATTTTATTATCACATTTATCATCACTTAATATAGAAAGTTTGTACTAAATTTTAAAACAATAGAAAGATTTATTTATATATATATAATATTATGATAAACTATTATGCTTACTCCATTCAAATTTTGACATTCCATTCTTTATTGGTGTTTATTGAATATAGCCTCCATTAATAATTTGCACTATTAATTTATAAGTTTATTACTTCTAAAATTTAAGTAAAAGAAAAAAGAAAGAAAAAATTTCAAGAATTTTAAAAGCAAAATACATTGCTACATCTACAAGAGGCTTTGAAGATTGTGCCATGGCATTGCTTTTATCTTGGACAGATCCTCTGTCAAAATTGAAATGGAGAATGCTAGCAAGTATGGTCAGGAACACTGGTTAACCAATTCAAAATAAACAAAATTATTAGATATTCTATTTTTAATATCTTAATTAGTTATATATATGTTTTATTTTATAAGTTGTAATATTCTAATTTGTATAAAAGAATGAATATATTTATATTGAGTTTTATGAAAATTAATTTTCACATAACTTTAGAAAATCAAATATATATATATATATATATATATATATAAATTAATTGATACCTATATTTATAAATTAAACCATTCAGAAAAAAAATTGTAGAATTATACCTATGATTTACTTAGAGATAAATTAATTGATATATTAAGAAATTTTATCTCAAATAAAATATTACCAGAATGTCTAATCAAGTTCCGTATCAAGGATTTATATTCAATTTGAGAGAAAACATTACAATTTTGTTTCCTTTTATTATCTTCGTAAAATATCCTTATACAAATTATATCATATTTTATTAGGATTTATATAATTATGAAATATTCTAGCTTTCTGACAGCGTAATTAACTATACATATTTATAATATATAAACACGGTGTACATATTATAATTTTTATGAAAAAAAAAAATATTTTGAGTTCATATCTCATACCCACATGTGCAAGTGTGAACTTCAAGAAAAACAAAACAAACTTACAGTGCAAACTCTATATCATAGTTTTTTATTAGAAGCTCATCAGATTTTGGAGCAAGGGAGTTAAAACATAAGAACGTATACTATTCTGATGCTGCTGCATCTGGAACAATGAACTTTCTAGGCTTATAGTGAAATATACAAAATAAAGCAAAAAAGTGAAAACCTGAGTGTATTGAAACTAATGAAAGGGAAGTCCACGAGATTCTGAGCCTGGTGACCCTTCACTACTTTGTGAATCCCCTCTCCATGCATCCTGCACTTGAGATGCAAACTGCAAGTTCCACAAAACATCCTCTACAGAGGGCCTATCTTCTGGCTGCTTAACCAGACACCTCACACATATCTCCATCATTGTCTTCAATGCTTGATCCAAACATGCCTTGCGAATTGCAGGATCAACAACACTCCTCCTACCCTCTTCATCAGCTCCTAAGCTTGCTTGCAACTGCCTCATGATGCAATTAACAGAAGGGTCATAGAATTGTAGTAGATGGTTTTTATTAAATATGGATTATGAAAACTAACATTATCTTGCAATCTAATCAGTTAGGAGACACTGTTAGATTTATCAAAGGTAACAAAGAGAAAATTTACTGATCATGATTACAAATGAAAGAAAATGGCACATTAGAAATGAATCAGAGTCCCTGTAATTACCAGATCCCTAAAAGCGTCTGCATCATTCACTGTCTTTATTTTCCTTCCTAGAATGAGTTCGAGTAGTATCACTCCAAGGTCGTATATATCAGACTTATCTTCATGCTTTACACTACAAAACAGCAGAAATCATTAAAAACCAAGTTTTCCTACATACATAAACATATACAACTGTGTAAACAGGATCCAAAGTATATTTTTTCTAGATGGCACATTTCAAATTATATCATATGGTATACAAAATTATAGTATAATGAGTTCGATTCTTAATGCATGTTAAACAACCTAATTAACTTTCTATCACTCACCTTTTCTTATTGCTAGAATTTTTTAATCCACTTGAAGAATTTCCATGTCGAACCTGGAAGGACAAGCTAAGGTGAATAAGTACCAGCTGAGGTATTTTTATCATAAGGAAAATAAAATAACAAACTTAGTAATGATTTTTTTTTCCTCATTAAAAAACTGTAAAATAGCAAAACTATTTTCTTCTTACCTTCCCCATGTTAGATAACAAAGGCAGGTGATAACTGCTGATTTTTGCCACAAGATTCTGATCCAATAAAACATCTTCTATCTTGAGATCGTTGGAATATACACCAGGGACAATCCCTGTATGCAGAAACTGGATTCCCTTTGCCACTCCAATGGCAGCTCCAATGCGTTGGGTCCAACTCAAGCATTTTCTAGCATTCTCATCTGCCAAAATTACAAGGCATCAATACCATAATTATGAAGCGCAAAAGTAACTAATCAGGATGGAGGATAACAAAAATGGCATTACTGCACAATGTTACATTATCATGTAAAAGGTTTTTATAGTGTCATACTTACCTAATCACAAATTGTCACTTATGACAAGTTTTAGACCTCTAAAATAAATACTTTTCAAGTTATACATATCATGATTTCTTATTAGTGCACTCAGTACAGAACATTTCACAGTAATATTGCTTATAAATTAAACTCAGTTTCCTCCTCCTCAAGTATAAATTTTGAACTTTATGCAAGTCACCGATAGAGACTACTTGAGGTAGGAGATGAATGAATATGGAATGCCCTTTAGTGAACTTTCCCCATCCATTCTTTTTCATGTCGAATAATACCATTCTTACAACCTTCAACCTGAGAAAGAAGCTGTTGTTTTTAGCAATTACCAGATATCCAATTCCTGAGCGTGCCGTTTGGTACGTATTCAAAGACAAGAAATACTTTGTTGACACTTGAATCATCCAAAGAACATTCAAAGCAGTGTCCAATAGCGCTGACCAAATGACGATGCCTTAGTTTTGATATCAGCTCTATGTGGTTCACAAAGTTTTGAGTGCTGTATTTCTTTTTCATTTCTACGCATCGAATAGCAACAACCGAACCATTCTTCAGCTGACCTCTGTACATCTAAGACAGAAAAACGCACAATTTCATAATGAAACACTCATCACTTAAATGTTTAAAGCTAGGAGTCACAATTTATTGAAATTAACAACTTCATGATAAATAGTTAAGTGAATCATGACTGCATGGTCAAATTAGTTTTGTGATGCTGGCTAGTGTACTACGGTCAATGAAAGAAAATAAAACCACTGATTTTGTATGAGTATAGTTCACAGGAAATATTCCTCTACATGCAAAATAATCTGAGACATTGAAGCATACCTTCCCATAAGAATCTTCACCCATTAAAGAAGATGTGTGAAAGTAGTTTGTAGCTGCCTCAATCTCTTCCAATGAGAAACTTCGATAAGTTGGCAAGCCAACTGCTCCCAACTTCTTTGTTTGAGATATATATCCTTTTTGTACAGGAAAAAGACATGTTTGTCAATCTATCCTTAATATGGAATTTTACAGAAATGTATAAATGGATTATTATTCTGTCATATCCCACTCTAAATAAATATTTTCCAATTATTAAGTGGACTTCACTGCTAAAGAACTATTGTTATAACTTGTTCAGCTGCAAATAAACTTATGTTTCTTTTCTTAAATTTAAACATGTATCTATGGTTTACAAGTGGGAAACTCTTTCAATTCAGTATACTAGAGCTGTATTTCCTATATACGTCTAATGAATAAATTTCAGTCGTAAAGAATTTAGTAAATATTACTTCGGTTAAGATTAGTTTCTCCGTATTATGCCTATTTACCAATATATGTTAACACTAGATTTTAATATATAAAACCATTTTCTGTTCAATCAAGGTACAGGACTGCTTCAGCAAGAATTTCTGTTCTTTTCATCCTATTCAATAAAATCTTTTGGTTTTTTTCTTTCCCTTTCCTATTCTTGGTTCCTAACAACTGGTGCCTTCTTTGTAGCACTATTTGCTCAGCCGGGTGGTGGAATATATACAAAAGTCGATGATGTTGGAGCAGACCTTGTTGGGAAAGTAGAACAGAGAATTCCTGAAGATGACTCAATATAGAGTGCAAACATATAATTGCAAGAAGGAAAGATCCTACCAATTTTCATCTAAATAACAGTTAACTTGTTTTAGTGACCTTTGTTTTTTTGGATCAGCTTGTTTTAGTGATCATCTAACTTTAGTATTTAATTTTTCTATGAAAGAAAAAAATATCATATTCTTATTAGTGATAAAAATGGCTCCAGATTAGATTATCAAATATCTGAGAATTTTCTAAATTTCTGCTTGTGGATGAAAAATGTATAAAATGGAACAAGGTGGTTTGATCATGCACACACCGTTGTTCGTGTGTGAGAGAGAGAGAGATAGAGAATTACTTGCATCAGAAAGCAACTTAGAAGTGTAACCAGAAGCAGCATTCTCTGATATTAATCTTGTTGGAGGATTCTTCATTTTGCTTCTAGCATTTCCTCTTCTAACAATAAAGAAAATTAGCAAAACAAGTGCTACTCCTCCAAGTGTCCCACCTACTATACCAAGGGAAAGAACTACCTTCGATACTTGTTTGTGCCTCTTTATCTCAGGTAATATTCCCACAGCTAAAGCCTCAGTGTGGCAAAAAGGCTGCGGCTGCTGATTTTGATTCACAGTGTCTAGACAATTTCTAGCATACAGGAAAGTCCTATCACTGGAATTTGACACTAAACATTTAGGTAAGCTCCCACTCAACAGATTTGAGGATAAATCCACTACATCAAGCTCTGAATTGCAAGACACATTCTCGAAAAGCATCCCAGTTAATTTGTTACCAGAAATATTCAGATAAGTAATAGAAGGAAGTGAGAACAATCCTGGCTGAAATGGCCCCACAAATGCATTTGACGATATATCCAAACGTTCAAGTTGATAGTATGAGCTCAATTCAGTAGGAATACCATCCCTGAACCTATTGTTTCTTAGCACTAGTGTAACCAACTTGTTACCAAGTTGGGGAAACTGAGGTCCAAAAGCATTATCATCCAATTCAAGCACTTGAAGATTCGTCAAACGACTCAAATCAGGCACTACCCCATAAAAGTGATTATGAGAAAGTGAAAGAGTTCTTAAATTCTCCACATTACCAAGGGAATTCGGTAGAGACCCATTGAACAAATTATTCTTCAAACTTAGCACAGTTAAGGTTGGAATTGAATCAAGCCAAGGAGGAAATGTTTCAGCCAGCATGTTGTTGTCAAAAATGAGTGTTTGGAGATTTTTCAGTGATGACAGTTCCTGAGGAATGGAACCATAGAGAAAATTGGAACTCATGTTAACTATTTCCAGAGATGACAAACGTGCTATCTTATCAGGCAAAGGACCCCAAATACCCAGAGAAACCAATGTGAGGACTTTCAAACTGGGAAGCCTTACTAGTGTTGTGACAAAGGAATTTATTGAGAAATTTCTAGGGAGTGGTGAATCTCTTCTTTCCCCTATTATGTGAAGCTGTGTTATGGAGTCTTCGTAGCACACAATGGTGAGGGAAGAGTTTGAATCTGTGTTGCAAAAATCTGTGTCGTTATTCCAGTTGCTCAAAGCAGCAGGAAAGTTCAATAGCTGCTGAATTCTGAGAAGAGTCTGAGAGTGAGAAGATTGTAATTGCTCTGAGTAAGGGATAGAAAGTAAAATAGTAACCAACACCAAAAACACTGAGGAATGGTGTCTATTTGCCATTAGAACCAACTCATGCACTGATGAAAGAGTTTTGGTGATATTCTCAAAAGGATTGAAATTCTCTCAAAACTGAATCATGGGCAGTACATGCATGAGCCCTGCAATTACAAGAAGGTGTGTTAATTTAAATAGACAAAAAAAATGCAAGAATCTTCTGAATTAAAATAATCAAATATTACTATCTATTGAATGCACGAACTCTAAATTTGAAGTTAAACCAAAGGCAAATTCTCAAAGAAAATCATTGTCTCACGCAAATTCCATAAAGTATAACCACTTGTGAGAATTTTAGACATAACTCAACATAGAGAAAAAGCTTCACCAGCTATAGAACACAGCACAAATCAATGAGTCCTAACCAAAACCAAAATACTTGAAACAGAGCGAGAGAAAGGAAAAGTGGGGAAGAGGGAAGAAAACAAACGTTAAATAAAAAGCATGAGAAGAAAACAAAAACATTTATTCCTTCAGAAGTTGCACAGGCCACCCAATTGAACAAAATCCAAAACTTTTTCAACCATAAACCAGTGAGTCTCCAAATCCTAGCAAAGCCTGGAAACCATTTCTCAAGGGCCAGCTTTTCTTTTCTCAAACCAAGACAAGGAAGCAGTGATAAGAATTGAAACTCGAAAACAAATGAAAAAGACCAAAACTCACACTGTGCTCTCTCACAAGGTGACATTTCATGGTTACTGGTCACAATAAATGAACTGACAATTTTATTTTCCTCTACTTGTTTTGCTCCAGGGAAAATGTTTTTTTCTTTTTTCCTTCTATTTTCTTTGTGTGGCAAGGCCCCAAAGCAAAAGAAAGATTCTTACATATAAGGGAAGCCTTTATTCTCAACTATGATATGATATGATTCTTTAACCTTTAAGGCTTTACCTCAGCATGGGGTGTCCAGCAGATTTCCTTGAAGGAGCTAGTTTTGTACTTTTCTCATAATTATGAGTGGGAAATTGGCTGAAGGTAGCGTTGGTTTTGGCCACGTAAGGTGTTACTTTCAGGGAGGGGTAAGCCTTTGCTTTCTCTCTCCAACTTTATGACATGGTCCCCCCGTATTTATATCTTTTGTTGCTTTTGCCTTTTGGTTTCAATCCCTCTCCCTCTCTCTCACCAACTTCTACCTTCGTTTATGTGTCAACGGTTGGATCCATGAACCTTCCAAGTAAGAGTTTCATCTGAAAAGTTGACAAATCCACGTCAGCAAAGGATGCAAGATCTTGAAGGAAAAGGAAGGAACCAACGCACACATTTTGACATTGGATGATCTAAACCAATGCCATCTAAATAGTGTGTGATGGTTAAATCATGTGATTGTTATTTGTTAACAAACCACTTTAGTGTTGAGCATATCTTGTAAAAAGATATGCTAGCTCTTTTTGTTCTTAAAAAATTATGGCTTGGGTAAAATTTAATACAAACGTAACAATGATTAATCAAAAGAATAAATTGTGATTTATGCAAAACTAATAATAGAATATTTAAAATATGAAGATAACAATAATAATATTTTATTTAATATTACGTTCTTTTTTAATTGATTTTGTCCTCTCCTATTAATTAGTTCTCATCTTTACTAATTATTATTCTCTCTTTTCAAATCTCAACTCATCATCTCATATTAACAAATCTTAAACTTCATCACATGGCCACTCGTAATCAACATGACATAATTAAACAAAACCCAAAATATACTCATAATTTAAGTGTTTTGACAACTACTCCTATTTCTCCTTTACGTAAGGTGAGTGTTTTTCATGATCCAAATTGAAAAAATATCATGATTGACTAATATAATATTCTAATTCAAAACAAGATATGGGAGTTGGTACTCTTGTCCCTTTAAGTTGGTCTATTTGGATTTTTATACATAAATGCAACCCTTGTAGTTTTTTTAAGAGATATAAAGTTTGTCTTGTAGGTGATAACAGATCACAAAAGAAAGGAGTAGATTGTGATAAAATATTCAGTTCAGTAGTGAAATCAGTGATCATTCAAACAATTTTAACCATTATTTTGTCTAAATCATGACTCATTCATCGGTTGGATGTCAAAAATGTATTTTTACATGGTAATCTAAATGAAAAACCATTTATATACATCAACTCATGAGTTTTAAGGATTCATCTCATCCTAATTATGTTTGTTTGTTAAAGAAGTCACTCTATGACTTAAAGCAAGCCCCTGTACCAACAATTTGCACATTATATGATCATAATCGATTTCAAACATAGTAAATTTGATCACTCTTATTCATATATCATAAGGAGTTTGATATTGCATATATTTTGCTGTATGTTGATGATATTATCCTAGTAACTTCTTCTAATTCTCTTATAAAGTTCATTATGTTATTCTTGAGTGCAAAGTTCATTATGAAGGATCTTGACCCACTCAGTTATTTTTTAGGATTGTAGTTATCCATCATACCGCCAGTATATTTCTTTCACAGAAAAAGTATGCAAAAGAAATTCTTAAACGAACAAAGAAGACTAATTGTAAAACTTGTCGCAAACTAGTTGATACAAAGTCCAAATTCTATGCTTGTAATGACATTCCTTACCGTAATCTTATTAAATATAAACATATTTTTAAAGCATTACAAAATATTCTCAAAATAATAATAATTTATTTTACATAATAATATCTATCCATTACTATTATGTTTAAATTAGTGGGTAACTATGATGTAAATAAAATAAAATATTTTAATAGACTATTCATAATTATTTACCTCTATTAAAATATTTTTATATATTAAAAATTATTAAAATATGATTCATATATCTTAAGGAAAAAATTATGGAAATATATTAAAATAAATATCACATTTAAAATAAGTATATCATAATTCATGACCGAGGAGATTATTCATTCAACAAACTAATAATTTTGTGAATTATTTTTCAAATCACCCTATTGAATAGAATTTACAAGTTAGTTAGTGAGTAAAAATTATTTAAAATTAATCTTTATAAGCAAATTGATGGGATTTTTTTTCCAATCGATTTTGGTAAAAAAAATTATGATTAATTTTTTTAATATAATTTTTTTATAAAAAATATAATATATTAATTTTTTTATTTCGTATTAGTTACAATCACCTTAAATAATAATTATTTTATTATATTTTTATTTTATTTTAATAATTATTTATCTTACACCCTTTAATATATTTTATATTTATAATTTTTATTGTAAATTGACAATAACCTTTATTATTTTTATAAAAAATATTAGTATTTATATATTTATTATATTATAAAAATATTATTTTAATTCGATTGGACCTTAGTTGAATGTTAGTTAGATCTTAGTTGAATTTTAGTTAATCCTTTAAACCCTATGTTAATATCTTCACCGATTCAAGTGACGGTCCGATTTTAAAACGTTGGTTGAAGATTATTTTAATTACTTTTTTCTCCATTTTAAAACAAGTGACTAACAAAAAACATATATATCATGTAATAAAGGCATGACAACTGAGAGGGACGAGACGGGACAGGAGCGGGCCGTGGGCAGTGTTTTACTTCATGACTTTTTTAATTGTCTCGTCCCTGCCCCTATTTCCACCTGGGTTAAATATTAAATTTTTATTTCTATCCCAGTTGGATTTGAGGTTTTCCTATCTCGTCCCTATCCGTCCTCATCCCTATTTTACATTATTTATAAAAAAAATTATACTTATAATAAATTAATTTTAATATTTTTATGTATTTTTTACTGAATAAATATTTATAATTTTATAATTTTTAATTGTTATTAATTAAATATATATTTTAATTTATTGTATTTATATTAAAATGTTAATATAAAAAAAATATTTAATCATTTTTCTTTATATTGATAAAGAATACATTTAACATTATTATTATTATTATTATTATTATTATATTCAAATATTTGATTAAATATATAAGTTAATTATTTTTTAAACTGTAATTTAAAAATATGAAATATATATTTTATAAAAAATATTTAATAAGTTAATTTTTATTTAATTAGTTTAAAGTAATAAAAATTTTAATTATCAATTCTTTTCAATTCTTTAAATTATAATTATTTTATTAAAATAAAATTTGATAAATCACAAATAAAAATAATAAGATCCAAAAATTATGATATAATTATAAATAAAATAATATTAATTATTATTAATACTTATGTCAAATATTTTAAAAAAATAAAGAAGAAGAAAAATTAATTTTACGTTTGTCAAATTGGTTAAAATGATTAAAATAAATAAATAAATTGATTAGAAGGAACAAAGAAATATAAACAAATAAAATGTAAAAGAAAGAAAATAATGTAAGGAACTAAGATTAAAAAAGACAGCATAATAAGAAAATTAGTAGAAAAAAATAAAAATTAATAAATAGAATTAATTTAATAAATTAATATAATTAGTAAAAATTTCAAAACTGACTAAATAATGTAGCTTAATAAATTATCCTATTTGTTAAACCTCCAAATTCAAAATTAATGTGACGACTTTTAATACCATGCGCATTAATTTTTCAAAACTGAATAAATATAATTTAATAAATTATTCTATTTATTAGTTCTGTAACCAAAAAACATTTATTATTACTTTAATTTTGTATTAAAAAAATTAAAACGTCTTTTATTTTAAACAGACGGAATGATTAGTTCTTAAATCAAGTTTTGAGTGAAAATGATCAATTCTCGTACGTCTCCCAGCAATTCTTTGTCTCCCAGCAAACATGAAGACTGAGAATGCAAGAACCCCCTCAACCTCTAGAGTCGATGGAGGGTCCCTGTCACGTCTCTCCAAATTATCATAATTCATCAAAACTTCCCAAACTCTCTCCAATTTCATAATTACTAACCAATAAATCAGAGTCATACATCTCCAATAACACAATTACAGAATATTGATCTGAGAAAACTTAATAGAGTTAAATTATGAGTAAACAATTCCAGGAAGTGGTATTTGTAGTGAATAACATGGCATTGTCGTGTGTATGTGTATGTAGGTGATGGTGTACTTTTGAGTCAGGGTCAATGTGGTGCCGGTCACAGTACGATATTGGACCCACACAACTATGAAAGTTCATGTGGGATGAAGAAACAAAATCTGACATCATATATATAATCAAATAATGTTTATAATATAACAAATGAAAAAGGTTGTATCTTAGCATTTGCATCACATGTATGCCATGCCACCAAACTCATAAAGATGATGATAAGTTTAAAAAACAAGAGATACTTGCCAATTACCTGGAGTTGGCATTTGCATTGTACTTAATTGTGTTGAGTAATATGTTAGAGACTTTTGGTTACAGCCTCATCTCCATTTATATATAAATTCAAGAGCCATACTTGTCTACCCCAAATGCATTTTTTTTTCAGTTGTGTTTAATTGCACAAAAGAATCATTCTTCCTAGGTTGGAAGTTTGAGTTAGATTTCTGTGAGGAAATTATTATCTAATGAAAATACAGCTTGCTAGCACACAACACAAGTTCTTTTTGTAAATAAATAAATAACAAATGTTACCAATTTAGTTCATATCAATTTAATTGTTAAGTCATTATAACCACAATGCACATAAGACAATTTTATGAAGGATCGTAATGCAAATAACCATTTTAGAATATGTAACTAGAATATTATTTTAACAAGGAGTTTCCTCAAAATAAGTTGATGCCTATAATTATTATTGTGCCAGCGACCAAAAACTAATAGAAGAAAAAGGTATATGAAAACTTTAATTCAATAATGTTCCAATTATTTTGACGGTGTTTGTTGGAAAACAATGTGCCACAACACAGAAACACAGAAACCAACAATCAGAATAGAAGTTCAACAGAAAAAGCATTTTAGGTAAAATAATGCTTAGGAATCAATTGTAGCATGAAAGTGTG